GGCCCATTGTCTCATGATCCGTCCATGCATGTGTGTATGACCATGCTTACACTGCCTGTGTGCGCCTACAAGTGGAATATAGCAAAGCACTCGACATTTATGAGTCTTGGAGTGCAAACACTGAAGGACAGATGTCACTCGCCGGATTCTTCCACTGGAACACTTTTCCAGAAACACTCCATGACCGTCCTGTATGACAATCACTCCCCTCCCTCCCTCCCTGCCTCCTCCCAGCGCAGGAACAAAAAGACATCTGAGCTATGTGGATGGGGAAGAAAAATCACAGCACTTTGTGCAGCGGCCACCGCGCTCCGGTTTCACAAAGTCTCTGACAGGCGGAGCGGCGCGCTGTTTTTACGCATAGCCTCCAGTCCTGCGAGGCATTGTAGACATTGTTTAGTAGCTGTGTAGTAGACTCCTGAGAAGACACCGGAGCGGCACAGTCTCTGATAACTGGATACCTGAGTCCAAAGTCAGAGAGTTTAAAAAAGAGAGCGAGAGAGAAGCACTTGGAGACGCGGACTGTAGCTGCGTAAAGGCGTGAAGCATGGAGTTTTTACGTTTAAGATCGAGAGAGCAGCATTTTATCAGTTTGAACTTGACATGCAAATCCGCTTAAGACCAGCTGACCCGTAAAAGAAGAAGAAAACAAGGCTTTCGTGCGATCTCGTCCTAAATTAGGGGGCCGCGCCGAGTCCCCTCTTAGACGTTTTTAGATTGTATCGACCTTGACTTCACTTTAAAGAGACGCGTTGAGAAATTTCCCGCAGTGTTATTTACTCATTATCCATACAGGCTGTTTGGAGGCAAGACTGAACAGGTTACTGGAGGTAAGGAGAGGGGAGTCGTGCCTGAAAAACTGGCTTCATTTCATTAAACGTTGATTGGACGTGAGTCAGCAGCACGGGTAGCTAATTGAGGACAAACATTATTATACACCTCTGTCTGACTGTGTGTCCTTCTCTCTCGTCCACCGTGTTGGAGTGTGTATATCACACCAAACAAACTACTATCTAATTAGGTTGTATATAGGCTTTACCCTGCACGCGCCAGGCAGTTGTAAAGTTTATTTTCCTGACCTGGATAGCTTTTCGTCTGTAAACGTCAATCTTAACAAGTCATTTGGTCTCTTATTTGTTTTTCCTAAAATACACTTCCTTTTATTTTAAAAAAAAAAACTGAAAATACGTGTGAGAGAACTCATTCTATCAGAAAATAGAAATAAAATGAGCAGGATACATTTCACACAGAGACATCAGATTTTATAAAACACCTGAATGGGGAAAGGTGCTTAAAGATGATGATAAAAAAGTGAGAGACGGTCTCATCCAGTGATGATAGTTCACTCAAACTTTAAGATTTATTATAAAACTTCAGACGTGTTAAAATAATCTGACTTTAACGCGCAGGTTAACAGTCTGTGTTCACTATCCACCCTCTCTGTTCTGGTCCAGGGTGCTGAGACTCTGCCAAGAAGCCTTGACAGGACAGAGAAAAAGTGATTTTGGCCGCGTAAGAAACGAGGAGGAGGCGCCTCTGGCGTTGAAGCAGAACCCCTTTCGATGGATTCTTCATGTTTGCTTCAGCCTCAGTGGAGACAGCCTGCTCCGAACACTTGCAAGCCGTGACAGCAAGGTGTAAATCATGACACAACGCAGCGTATGGATAGCCACAAACATGGGCTGTACCCAGCGTGGAAGAAGCGGCTCTCCCGTCCTCTCCGGTGCGCACTTGGAGCAGAATGCGCACAGGACAGCCGGTAAGGCGCCATTCAGATTCTATAAAGTTCTCTGTATAGGTATTTACGACAATGTCGTTTAGAAGAATATTGTGGGATATATTTACGCGTAATGTTGCTGTGAAAGCAGACCTGGGCTGTTGTCTTCATGTTTGCTGTGACAACACTGAAAAGACTGTTTGATGTCTGATTTCTTTTCACATCAGTGGCTTTTTGCTGAGCTCCAAACCTTCCCCGCACGCACCTGCCAGCTGTTTTAAGCTCCTCTGAGTCTGGGTCACTGTGACTTGGATTTAGTGTTGGACCTCATTTAGTGTTTATTGTGAAATGCAGTCTAGGAGGAGGATGGTGAAGATGTTTTTTTCTGTGTTTTATGGTGAGAAGTTTTGTGATTTACGGTCTAAGGTGTTTACAAGGTGCTTGAAGGTGACTGTAAATAATGGAAAAATATAAATCAAAGTGAGTGTGATATTATGTGTTCTTATGGATGAGGAGGAAGCAGTGGCAGTCAGGAAGTCTTCCAATGTGACCCTCTCCTGGTGGGCTGCAAATCTAAATATCAAAGTGCTGGTCAAACACACACACACACACACAACACACACGACACACACACACACACACACACACACACACCAACACAGCTGCATCCAGTTCCCTCCTCTGCAGTACCTCTAAGAGAATCAGGGGAAGATCAAGTCTGTTTAAGCTTCAGGTGTTTTGACATGCTGAAAGTCAAGCACATTTCTTTTCAGGTTCAGCTGAAACTGTGTTGATTGTTTAAGCTTTGTGAACTAGAGGTGGGCGATACTTTTGCTGGTGTTTCCACAGACTCTGAACTGTGGATTTTTATCTTTATCAGGCTCACAGTTCAAGTTTGCAGTACTTTCTGTTCTAAACTGTGCAATTTGTCTGGATTTGTCTACTCAAAGATGTAAAAGATCCTACATGATGTGTCACTGAACTTTCATACTTGCTATCTGACTCAATGGCCCACTGACTCACTCAGTCATGTACATACAGTGTTACTCATGCACGCAGACGAGGCTCAGTTGGAGGTCGGCCGACCTCTGATGTTCAGTTCTTGCTTTTGTGTGTGTGTGTGTGCAAGAGCTTTGGCATCACCTGAGACATGTCACACTTCTTAGCAGGCTTCCCTCCACTAAATGCCTGTAAAATGTGTGAAAACATGCCGTCAAGCAACCTTGTTTTTCTTTACTTGTGTCGTTTAAAATCAACAGTTTGTTCTCAGGTTGAACATGAGAGCGTCGCCTCTGCTTCAGGCATCTCGCACTCCCCCGTCACGCTGCCACAGCTTTCACTTCCTCCAGTCAAAGGTCATGGGGTCAGCGGCCCTGCCGAGGGTCAGGTACGGGCGGGCCAGCGCGCTCTCTTTACCAGCAGCCTCCTGATGTGTGGTCTGGTTTGTTTTAACTGGCATGTGGCTTTACGAGAGCTAGCGTGCAGTTTGTTGGTGTTATGGGTTTAACTCTTTCCTTCTCTCATGCTGTTCTGTGTTGCTAGTCAAACTCGCAGCCAGTTAGACACTTGCAATTAAAACGACAAAATAAGTTATCATTATCGCCACTCCTTTATATAGAAACATCTTCATAAATATATTTAAAGCCATTGTGGCTGTAAACAGGCTCTGTCTGTTTGTCTCCCTCGCCCAGTGGTCTTCATTACTCACTAAGCTTTCAGCTGCAGTGCCTGATACTTCAAATATTGCTTTTCTGTATTTCATTTAAGACTGAGATATAGGCCTATTGAGGATAAAACTTCTCATTTTTAGAAAAGATTGCATCTTTCTCATCATTTTTGACAAGAAAAACGTAACGCATATAGTACAGTACCCAACTACAACCAAGGGAAATGACTGGAAAAAAGCAGAAAGGACAAATTCAGTTACTTTTGGAATATTCAGAAAACATTAAAGAACAATGTTCAGGAGCAAATGGTGTAGTCTTTTTCTGCTGACCTTGTCTTCCTTTATCCAAATTCACTTTAATGCTCAGATTGATTTGATTTTAGAAGGCATCATTATATTTCAACATTAGACATTTCTTAGGCTTGTGTTGCTGAGCATGATGTAATATTGAAAAGGCACTAAGGCTAAGTTTACCTCAATGTATACTAGCCACACTAACTTCAGTACAGAAGGCAGTGACTTCACCCATAAATAGCTTGTTTTGTGGATACTTTATAACCAAATGAAATATACATATTAGCTATATTGGGTCAAGAAAAAATATCCCCCACTGAGTGTACCAAAGTTCACTGCCCACTTCTCCACTGTTTGTCTTAAATCGTACATTGCTATGTAATGTTTCAGCAACTTAAGATAAAAATGTTTAATAAAATTAGTGTTACAGTGTTAAATTACAGTTTTATAAACCTGCCTACCTAACCTGTCTAAATGACACTCAAAACCACTTTGTATTCAGGGCTAGCTAGCCAACATGAGGAAATCTGCAATTCTATTAACAAGACTAAAGGCACATTACTGGTTGTAACTGATTCTTTATGTCATAGTTTTAAAATGTAAGCTAGCACAAAATGTGCATGTTTAGTGCTGTCAGACTTGTTTATCCTGTATGTGTAATATGAGATTTTATAAGCACTAAGCAATTTGTTGTTGGCTAATTAAACAATTCAAAAGAATCTGTAAACATTACACCACACTCAATGTTCACCTAAATTTTTTTAAATTTACCAAATTCTCTATAATGCATGATTTCTTGATCTGATAACACATTGTGTTCAAAATGTTTGTAGATTGTTTTACGAGACATAGTAAAAATCAGATAAAAGGCTTGTAGTTAATATAATGTCAATTGTTCTGTGAAAGGAGAACAAGAACAAGACAAATATTAAGACCTTCCAAAAGTTGTGACAGAAATGGGAAGCTTGAAGGGACCTTTAATACCAAAAATGTGTGAAATGTAGGGATCGTTTATAGGCACAACATTATAAGGCAAATAAAAAAAAGCACCATCAAACACAATGACAGACTACAGGCAACAGATTCCAGCATTTTTCTCATTAACACTAAATGCAGTGAAAAAGTTAAAGGAGGGCGCAGTCTTTTCAGATTAGTATAAATCTGTCATTAAAAGACGAATGTGTGCGGTGTGCAGGGATCCTTGTCCTCAGCTGTGTCTCAGCCGCTGTGTGTAGCGTTACTCTAGTTGTTTTGTCCCAGAACTAATGGAGAGAGTGCAGCGAGAGAGATTGATTATGCAACCTGAAGTGCCACAGGGCAACTTCAATCTGGAAGTGCTTAAAGTATGCAACGAACCACAGTGATTCCTTCAGGGCAAATTGAAGGAGGCATGATCTGACAAAAAGGAATTTCAATTTGTTAGATGTATTCCTTCAGACAAATGCTTCCCATGCTACTTCTGTTTTCTGGGTCCTTGCTTTTGTAGCGGTGGACAATCTGGTGTAAGTACGCTGGGGGAATTATTTCTGTCTCTGATCTTGAATTGTTTTGTTGTTGTTGAGCACTTTGACTTCTTCAAGTTCAAACAGCTTAAATTATTTAGAACAAAGCAGCAGTTAATACTTTCGGAGCCGCTGATGAAACATAAAGCAAACTCCTGTCCTTATCGAAAAATCTCCCTCCTTAAAACAACTTTTTCCTCAAAATACAGAAGAATGTTAACTAGCCCAGCGCAGTGTTTGTGTCTGTGAGAGCGTTTTTTGATACAATAAGCTGTATTCTTCTGAAATTAGCAGGTCAGATTCATTAATCATAGCGTCTGAGGGCTGCTTTGAACTATCAGGCCAGGTCATTAAACTCAGTCTGTCTGGGGCATGAGCGGGCGACACGGAAACACTTTGGAGAGCACTGGTTCACCCACAAGACACACTAATAATGACCAGTGTGTGTGTGTGTGTCTGTGTATATGAGCATGTGTGTGTCACAGATGGCCACTTTTCTGAGTGCTACTCTTGGGCTCAGTGTGGGCTTAATTTGGAGAACTAACATGAGATGGGAGCAAGAAAAGGTCGTGAGGGTGGGTGGATGGTGGGAGAGGGGATGTGGGTGTGTGTATGCGGTTTTGTATGAAAGGTGAAGTGTTCTGTGTGCATGTGTGTGTGCAAAGCCACTTTGTAGTGGGAATATCAGTTCTACAAAGTGTGTTTGAGAAAGAAAATAGGTAGGAATAGAAAGAAAAACAGAAACT